CTGTGTGTGTGTGTGTGTGTGTGTGTGCGCGCGCATATTCACCAGTGCCCAGGGAGGCCAGAAGAGGGCATTTTGAATATACCAAGAATATTTTAAGTATATTTTTATTTTAAAAATATTCTATTTTAATAATGTAGTTATTAAACAATGGAGCTGGATTGCAGGCAGTTGTGACCAGTCTGGCATGGTGACGAGGAACTGAGTTCTAGTCCCCTGGAAAAGCAGCAAAGCAGCCTTAACCCCTGAGCCTTCTTTCCAGTCCCAGATATAAAGAATTTCTATAAACTGGTAAAAGAACTCCAGACGTTCACCTCAAGAAGGCTATGGATGTTTGTCATTGTTTAGGGGGGTTGGTTACAAATTGTTATTGGTCATGGTCGGGAAAAAAAAACTGAACGAGAGAAATTAGGTTCAGAGATCTCTGAAAAGAAAAAGGGGGCATAGAATATAGAAATGATGGAATAAAAACATGGATTTTTGAGTCTACTTTGGAACAACAACAAAGACTCCCCACAAAGCCAGCAGAACAGTGCAGTGCTCACACAAAAGTAGACATGCAGGCTAATGAAACAGAAGAGAGCCCAGAAAGAAACCGGCGTACACACAGTCACGTGACTTTGGTGGATGACAAGGCTACAATACGGAGGAAAGGACAGTGTTTGGACACATTACATCATTACTAATTGTGACGGCTACTCTTGGTTGTCACCTTGACTGTATCTGGAACGGACTACAATCCAGCAATGGAGAACACACCTGGGAGAGATTTTCTGCTCGGGAAGACACACCTTTCATGGGGCCCACACCTTCTGCCGGAAGTCTATATAAGGACATGGAAGATGGAAGGTTTTGCTCTCTGCCTCCTTGCCCTGGCCTTGCTAGCACATCCATTCCTTCACTGGCACTGGAGCCTGCTTCTTCAGGATTCCAGCATATGCAGAAGACCAGCTGAGACACCCAGGCTTGTGGAACTGAGCAACTACTGGGTTCTTGGACTTTCCTTCACAGCCAGCCATTGTTGGATTAGCTGGACCACAGCCTGTAAGTCATTCCAATGAATTCCCCTTTATATACATATAGGGATTCATTCTATAAGTTCTGCAACTCTAGAAAACCCCGACTAACACACTAATATTGGAAATTCAGATGCAAAAAAAAAAAAAAAAAAAAAGGAGGCAAAGGCCTGAAACAATTTAAAAAAAAAAAAAAGGAAGTCTTGGATTGAACATCTAAATGGCCAAGAAATATATGAAAGTCCTCGTACAGAAAAGCCTTCTTAGTTTTAGTGGTCATTAAGGAAACACACGTTAAAACCACAGCATTGACCGGGCGGTGGTGGCACATGCCTTTAATCCCGGCACTGGGGAGGCAGAGCCAGGAGGATCTCTGTGAGTTCGAGGCCAGCCTGGGCTACCAAGTGAGTCCCAGGAAAGGCGCAAAGCTACACAGAGAAACCCTGTCTCAAAAAAAACAGCAAAAAAAAAAAAACCCAAAAACAAAACAAACAAACAAACAAACAAAAGACAGCATCAGCGGGTGTGCCTTAAAACAGGGCATCACTTTGAGAAATTAACTGTGACAGGTACAAGAGTTGAGCACCTGCATGTAAGGCCTGCCATTTCCCCACAGAGATGCTCACACAAGTGCAGAAAAAGTCATGAGCAAGGCTGCTTGGACTGCATGTGTTTGTAATGGCCATAAGTCTCAGAGACACCAGTCTGTGGTCGGCATGTGGGTGAATTTGTGATGGTAATGGAATACTACGCAGTAATGAAAACAAATGGGCACTTGCTCACTCCACACATGAGTCTTACAAGCAAGCATCTTGGTGAGCTGGAGAGCCGGGAGCAGGAAAAACCCGTGGGGTCAGACTGGAACTCAGAATGGCTCACTGAGAAAGGGGAAGCATAGGTAGCTACAAGGCAAGGACAGAGTCAAGGGTTCTCAGTTACAAACACTTCTGTTTCTTGACCCGAGTGGAAACTCCACAGGCGTGTTTACCGTGGGTAATTCCCAGGCTGCATACTTCAGACTGGTGCATTTTACCAAGTACAGTTTGTATATTTGAATAGGATAGTTATTTTTTAAAAGTTGTTAGCACAAGCACTATGTCCATTAGCTGTTTTAAATTGTGACTATTAGGTATATAAAACAATAACAATATAGCTCAGTTATACAGCACTTGCCTGCATGAGGGCTTAATCTAACCCGCGGGACTGCAAAACAGAGGAGGGCCAGCAGCAAAGTCACATGGTT